TCACTCTGGAAATGTGTTATATGATGAACTAGAGGAAAAGACAAAGGGAGCATCAGTCTAGGCCTGGCGATGGGCTATGACTCAATTGTGCAAGGAAGGTTCTCCTGGAGGCCAGCAAGCAGATCTCAAAGGTAAATGCATATTCCCCCCTCTACAGTACCCAGGGCCCATCCCTGAGGTGTGCTGCCTGCTTGCAGAGAGCCCTGGCTGATTTCCTCTGCAGGATGCCAGACTCTCTGAGGCAGCATGCCCAGCCATCAACAGGGGAGCAGCAGAAGTTCTGCAGATTGCTCTTGTCACTTCTCCACTTGTGCAAGCCCCTCGAGTTCCTTGCCATGCTCTGCTCAGCTCTGAGACTGGAAGCTGCTGGGTCTCTGAATTGAGCACACCCCACATCTGTACAACTCACTACATCTACCCCACCACAGAAACCAGAGCTTGCGGTGCTACCTTCTCAGTCCAGGTTGGGAAAGAAGAACGCTTGTCTTCATGCCATGAGCTGAAGGAACGAAACAAAGCAAGGATACCTAACCCAAGCACAGTGCTATCTTTATTTCTTTATCTTCAGTTGCTAATTCTAAAATTGAGTCAGAAGATCAAACTCAATTTTTTTTAATCATTCAAAGTTTCAAAAAAAGGATGTATGGTGGGAAATTGACTTTCAAGTGCATCAAAACTCCTACGCATCTTCTGTCTGTCCTGTTTGCTAGGCTATGATCTTAGTAGTTTTCCTCTTGCAATAATACAAAGACAGGAGACTGAGGCAGGAGGATTGTGAGTTCAAGGATGGCTTGAGCTACATAGCAAGAACCTATATAAACAAAAAGACAAGTAAATAAAAAGCTTAAAAAGCACAACACTCTTTCCCATCACCAATGTTAACAGGCTAATGTATATCACTTGACATTCCCCTGTTCCTGTTGTATATAAAAATACAGATACAGATATATGACATTATCATTGTTGTTTTCACTAAAATGGTATTTTATGATGTCCCTCTCTTGCCATTTGTAATAATAATAATATATTAAGGACATCCCCCAGGCTAGTATTAACAAGTTTTTTTTTATAACTTGTTAATATCCCATAATATGGATATATCATAACATATTCAATTATTCCTTTATGGATGGGCATTTGGTTGGCTTCTTGCTTGTGCCACAACAAAGCAGCTCCTACCAGTACCTATTCCTGCCATGTATTACATGATGAAGTGCTACCTGAGCTAAAGGCATTTTCTGTGTGCTTACAATATGCTATTTTTATAAAATATACAAAATAACTGTATGACATAGTACCTTCCTCAGAGTGCCAAATATAGCTGGGACAATTAGCCAACCTCCCACAAAACAATGCAAGCTTGAAAGATGGTACTGAACCATGTTCTACAGACCTGATATGAACAGAGACCACAATCTTCTACACAGTGACAGATTGGAGAGAGCGCGCTCAGAGAGGTCCCTTAATCCTAACATTCTAGAGCCTTCTCTGGTTCAGAAAAGAGGCACTAGAAGGACTCAGAAGCCAATGTGGTATCTGGAAGAGGCAGGACTTGAACAAGACATAGGAGCTGTCAGACCAGTGAAGAAAAAATTTCATCTGGGGATGACAAATAAGTAGATGAACAGCACTGATGTAGGAAATATATTTGTTAAGGAGAGTGACAATAAGCGGTCCCTTCTCCAAGTCACTGCACTTCCAAACACTGGCCTTTCACACCTCTCTCACCTCAACCTGACTGCCTCAGCAATGCTGTTTAGTTTTTCCAGTGATGGGGATCAAACCTAGGGCCTCACACATGCTAAGCAAGCATCCTTCCACTTAGCCTTCTAACCTGTTTCTTAAAGACATTAAAGACATAAAGAAATCCCAAGCCTAGTTGACACAAGGCATTATACCATCACCAAATTAATGTGCATTAATTGCAAGCTGCAGAAGCTTGAAAATATCCCCATATCGCTTCTTCCCTCTCCTTGCCTCAACCTCCCCTCCCCTCCCCTCCCCTCTCCCAAAGTGCATGCATGTACATACACACACACACACACACACACATACATGCACACATGTGAGGCCTTATTTTGTGCCCCTCAAACAACAGCAGCCATTAAAGCTGTTCCTGTCCATCTGGAAAATAACATAACATGGGAGAAAGCAATTCTGCAGCATAAGTGATTGTAATTTAACCAAAACATGGAGTTCTTTCATAAAAACACTTTGTTAAAATCTTGACATTGGTGATCACCAGTGTCGATCATTTACTCTCTGTTGCAATAATTTGTTTGCAATGCATCCAAATTCATTAAAATACAAAACATAATTGATAACATGTTTTAAACTTCCCCATAGTTTGGGTATGTTTCAGGTACATTTTATGTCACTACTGAATGTTAGCATGTCCGTGAGAAAACTCTACCAATGAAATAAACATGAGTAGATTAATGCGCTTTTTATCTCAAAGACTAAGAGGCAATACAGAGGAGACTGTGATTCTCTCTTTTCCTTTTCTCTACCCCTTCCAGTATTAAATTAGCTTTCAGCATATTTTTCAAACATTAGAAAAACAAGATTCACTCCCAAGATGTTTGAACACCAAGTTTGAAGGCAGAATTTTGATGGTCATATGCAGAAAGTAGGCGCTTTTAATAAGGACAGTGAGTTGGGTTTAAATTAAGTCTAATTGCTATGTGCTTCTATTTAATGGTAGAATAAAAAAAAAAAGCAAAAAGCTAACCTCTATTGCATTAGGCCAATCACAAAAGTGACCAAGGTCTGACATCCAGTAAAGAAAGTAAGGGGTCTAAGGCCACCTGTGACCTCACTGGCCATAACTGAAGTTGGCTCCTTTCCTGGTGATCTCACACCTTTCCCTTCACCAGTCCTCTCCCCAACATTGGTCTAAATGGTGTGAAGCCCCATTAGTGTCTTTGCACATTAAATCTAGATTTGTGAGTGTGCAATACACACCTAATATCAGAGTTGAGAAAGAGTTGCCAATCACTGTACAATAGTCCACTGGCTTAAAATGCATAAGATGATCATGGAGAATAACTTAGCAGTTCCTCAACAATTTAATCATGGAATTATCATATAACCCCAAAATTCCACTCCTAGACGTACATCCCAAAGAATTGAAAATGAGTATGAAGCAGAAACTTGTACACTAATGTTCATAGCAATGCAATTCACGGTGGCCAAAAGGTGGGAACAACCCAAAAATCCATAAACTGGCTTCAATGGATGAAGGGATAAACAAAATGCAGCCCAGCCATACAAGGGAACATTATACAGTCACAAAAGGGAGCACAGTTTGTAATGAGGGATACTACAGCATGGGTGAACCTTGGAGCCTTTATGCTAAGTGAGAGAAGACAAACACTAAAGACTACATGTTATATGATTCTATTTATATGAAATACCCAAACTAGGCAAAGCCATAGAGACAGCAGATGAGTGGTTGCATGGGCTGGGAGGAGGAGGGAGTGGGAAGTGACTGCTTATTGAAAACAGAGTTTCCTTGGGGTTGGGGGGAGGATACGAAATATTCTGGAATAAGACAGTGGTGATAACTGCACATCACTGTGAAGGCACTAAATGTCAATGAAATGTACATTTTAAAGTAAGTTCAAATGGTCAATTCATGTTGTATGTATTTTTGCTGTACTAAGAAAACAAAAAAGTTTCAGTACAGAAAGGTATAAATTTTTTAGTTCTTTACTAAAATTGAACTTTTGAGGGAGTTTAATGAAATATGGAAAATATGAATAGAAGTAGTCTAGAAACTACTATGGTGGTCTTAATATGTAAGCCTGTGCAATAAGTGGAAATAAAGAGGTGCAAAGGCACAAACTCATTATTTCAAGTTTCCACGTGCAAACATGTTGTACTACCAGAACAATTCGTGAGAAGCATTTATTAATATACAAACACCTCTCCTATCCAGTTTGGATATTGGATATTGAAACCCTATGTCTCTAAGTTACCTAAGAGAACCATGCCATGTTGCTTCCCCCATCTGCTTCCTAAATATCCCTTTCCCAAGTTGGACTCCTTCCACCTCCCTGAAGCCTTTCTTGGTGACTCTGCCCATCTCTGGGCTCCTGTTGCCCATAATTAGGAACCCCCAAATGTAGCCTAAACCTGCACTGCACCCAGCTTGACAGCTGTTTCACAGGCCTCATAGATCCCATAGACATTCAGTGAGAGTCTTCCATACACAGGGCATTCAACCCCACTCCTCCAACCTCACCAAGAAGAAAAGCACCCCTTGTGACACTGCGCCTATTTCAGGAGATCAAAGAACAAGGGTCGCAATGTGCACCTTGGACTCACACTTGACCAGATGTCACTCCCAGAGCTGCAGGACCTTCAATAACTTACTGAACCTCTCAGTTATTCTCTTAGCTTCTCTTACTCTCCTCACCTGCAAAGTGCAATGATGATCGCCACACTCTCTTAGAAAGGTTGTTAGGATGAAGTCACATAAAGCTTGACTATTGTCTAGTCTCATCTCTTATTCTGTATGCCTGGTTCTAATTGTATTTTATTGCACTTGCTCTTATCCTCTGTGGAAAGTGGGGGAGCAGAGGGCCTCCACAAAGCCACTGCTACATAGATAGAGCTCATTAAATGTTCATGGAGTGCTTGAGTGCGCAGCCCTAGGCTGGCGGGGCCCAGCTGCGCAGCTCGGTGGGAGCCAGGGCAGCGCCAGGAGCTGCCTTGCCGGGCCCAGCCACGACCCGCATACAACGCCCAGCGCGCGCACCTCACACCCGCAGCCGGCAGCCCACAGGCCGGCGTCCCTCCCGGGCCCAGGGCGCGCATGGCGATGGCCCAGGGCGGGGATGGCGCAGGAGCAGAGGCGCAGCCCGTGGCTCTCCGGGGTGCCGGGCGGCCGCACGCCCTTCTCCCCGCCGCCGCGAGTAAACAGCGCCGGGCGCGCTCCCCGCACAGGCTCCGCGCCGCCCCGCGTCCCTCCCGCCGGCGGCGCCACCGCCTCCTACCTGGTCGGTGAGTTTGAGCACTGCCATTCTTCCTCGCCTTCGCGCGCGCACACATACAGGTCCTCGGCCCGCAGATGTCACGCCACGAGCGGGGGAGGAGGAAGAGATCGCCGGGGGAAGAGCGAAGAATCTGGTCCTTATTTGACAGCCCACCCCTGCTCCTCCTGTGCCCCGCAGCCTCCTCCCCCTCCTCCCGCCCGAGGCTGACACTGGCTCATGGGCTCCGCACCCAGCCCGCCCGCCTGCCTTTCTACAGGAAGTGACCGCTGCTCCAGCCGGGCCGCCACTGACATCACCGAGCGCCGCCCCGCTCGCCGCGCGCCGCCTGAACCAACGCTGCCTCCTGCCGCCCGCAGCCGCGCCTCGCAGCTGCCCTCGGCGCATGGCCGCCCGCACGCCCTCGTCCAGGTCACACACGCGTGCACCACCGATGGGCGACCATGATGGGGTGCCACTCAAGATGCCAACTTTCACCCCGAGACTGCGCCACACCCCCTTGTCCGAACCTCTTCCCCTAGTCCGGAATCAGTTGCTCCAGCACTCCAAAGCGTCCCACCTGGGGCTGATATCCTCTTTGTTTGATGCAGTGGAGCCCTGGACACAAGGATGCTTCACCGAGTGCTGCTCAAACGCTGGAGGTGAGGGGTGGAAGAACTAGGGATTCTAGTCCTTTCTTTCACCTTCTTCTGCAGCCACCTTCCAGCCAAGCCACGCATCATATTTTAAGTTCAAACACCTGGATTCCGGGCTTAGGGCTGGAGGTGGCGCAGACTGAAGAAGTAAAGCCATAGCCCCGACTTCCAGCAGAATCTTGCAGTGAGGGACATGTGGACTGCTTCTTAGACCAGGCCCCCAGGGGCCCAGACTCTTCCCTGCATCTCTGTGGGCCAGCAGCTCCAGAGCACTCTGTCTAGGCACCTAATGGGAGTCAGTGAGCCGTCTGGAACTCCCTATCTCCTGTCATCCCCTCTTCTTTCCACATGGTCATAGACTTTGTAGCCTGAAAGATCTTCCTGATCATTCTCTCCTTACTTCTACTTTTTAGCTTTCGGCAGTACTGGGGGTTCATGCTTGCTAAAGAAGCATTCTATCTCTTGAGCCACGCCCCTAGCCTGTTTTGCATGTTTGTTTTTGATAAGGTCTTTTGCTTTTGCTAGGTCAGCTGCAGACGGCCATCCTTCTACTGACCTTCCTACCTCTTGTATAGCTGGGATTTCAGGTTGCACCACTACACCTGGCTTGTTTTGTTGAGATATGGTCCCACTGATTTTTACTTGGGCTGGCCTCAAGCCATGATCCTCTTTTATCCACCTCATGAGTAACTGGGATTACAGAGGTGAGTGCCAATGCCTTGCTTGAGATCTAACCATTTTCTAAAAGTGGGGTGACACTTTCTTATTTTTTTCATTAAGCAATAACCAAACAATTGAGTTGTATGTTACTTGAATTTATCATGAGGAAAAGTTGTAGGAAAATTAGGGTTTCCTAAACTTTTAGAAAGATTTACCAAGGCAATAGTTTTCAATAGAATCACTGTAAGATTAAAAAGTATTTTAGGACCAAGGGTGTAGCTCAGTGATAGAACAGAGGCTTGTCACGGGAAAGGCCCTGGGTTCAGTCCCCAGCACTGGAAAAATAGTTAAAACTTATTTGACATTTTTAATCTTTTTAAAAATAAAATTTCGAGTCCTATCACCACCCATCAAAAATTCCATGAAATTAAAAAAATGGAGGTATGCTAAACCTGAAGATTTATTTGTAGTTGTCTTAGCCAATTTGTGCTGCTAGCACAAAATATCACTGACTGGGTAGTGTCTAACCAATACACATTTATTTCTCTTAGTTCTGGAGATTGGGAAGTCCAAGATCAAAATTTTGGCAGGTTCTGGTGAGGGCTGCCCTCTGCTTCCAAGATGGCACCTGTTGCTGCATCTCTGGAGGAGGGATGGAAGGCAGAAGGCGGAGGTTTGAACTCTTCTTGAAGCCCTTTATTAAGGAGGCTAACATCACTCATGCAGCAGACTCTCCTGGCCCAATCACCTCTTAAAGGCTCTGCCATTAGTACTATTGCACTGGTGATCAGATTTCAACATAAATATTCAAACTGTACCAGTGATAAACTGACATCCTTACGATACTCATTTATTTATTTATTTTTCTTTTATTCATATGTGCATACAATGTTTGTGTCATTTCTCCCCCCTTCTCCCTGCCCCCTCCCTTACCTACTCTGACCCTCCCTCTCCCCCCCCCACCCCTCGCTACCAGGCAGAAACTATTTTGCCCTTATCCCTAGTTTTGTTGAAGAGAGAGTATAAGCAATAATAGCAAGGACCGAGGGTTTTTGCTAGTTGAAATAAGGATAGCTACACAGGGAGTTGACATGCATTGATTTCCTGTGCATGTGTGTTACATTCTAAATTAATTCTTCTCAAACTAACTTTTTCTCTAGTTCCTGGTCCCCTTCTCCTATTGGCTTCTGTCACTTTAAAGTATCTGCATTAGTTTCTCTGCATTGAGGGCAACAAATGCTATCTAGGTTTTTGGGTGTCTTACCTCTCCTCATACCTCCCTTGTGAGCTCTCGCTTTATCATGTGATCGAACTCCAGTCCCCTTGCTGTGTTTAATCCTTGATCTAATGTCCACATATGAGGGAGAACATACCATTTTTGGTCTTTTGGGCCAGGCTAAATTCACTCTGAATGATGTTCTCCAGATCTATCCATTTACTTGCGAATGATAACATTTCGTTCTTCTTCATGGCTGCATAAAATTCTATACAATACTCATTTTAAACATGTTTCTGCATTTGTGCAAATCTCTGTAACTTTTCAACTTGGATTTGAATTTTAACAATTGTGCCATGCAAATTTCATATAAAATATTCCTACTCTTAGGTACTTTATACTTTTTTTAGTCATTTAAAATCAAGTTTACAGTTAAGGGTGTAGCTCAGTGGTAGAGTGCTTAAAGTGCTTGCCTTGTATGTGGGAAGCCCTGGTTTCTATCTCCAGTATCTAAAATAAGCATCTAAAAAATCAAGTTCAATCATGCAAATCATTTGATATATTGTAAGAAATTTTGTAAATGCCACAATGTACCCCCAGCACAACAATAAAAGAAAAAAAAGCAATAAATAATTTCGATGACAAAGCCTGTTGCTCTTGAGGACTATCTAGGATATGAGGACATAAGACAGAGGGCGGTAAAGAGCCATTATGGTAGCACATCTTAGGCGGAGCCCTGCCACCTGTTCTTATAGACTTGGCTCCAGCTGATCCCTGGACCTTGCCCCAGTTCTGTGTAGCTTGTCTCCTCTTTGTTGGCAGAGCCTTCTTCCCACTGAGGAGGCTAAATGCTGGGCTTAGCTTTTCAGACTCCCTGGACATGGGACTCAAACTAGCCAGTGAGGTATAAAGAGAAACCTGTTGGGTATTTAGGAAAGATTATTTTCTCCGATAAGGGAGACCAGCAGGGAGAAAGCTCCCCCCTTCTCTTTCTTCCTGTCTCTGAACACTGATGCGTGAGAATGTGATGTTTGTAGCAGGGGCAGTCACCTTGCAATTATGAGAAGAAATCTAGGAAAGCCATACAAAAGCAAATCCAGAGATCTGATCTCATGTCATTATGTCACTATTGCCAGAATCACCACTGGAATAATGGAATTTAGCTGACCCATCTCCTGTTCCAGTTTTCTGTCATATAACTCATTTCTAGTTGATAAACTGGGCAGTCTTGTTAATACCCCCAGACCTTACCATTTCCAGGTGTCTGCTCTCCCCTGCATTCCTCCTCCCACAAAAAAAGACTCCAGATTTCACTAGAAACCCCTCTCCCCCACCATCTCCTCTGGCAAGAGCCTCAGTCTTCCACCCTGGATTTCTATTCTATTTGACAATTTGTCAAGAGCTTAAAAATAGCACACCACTTTACATGTCACTGTGCACATACACTGTTTTTGTCTGGTCGCCATTTAATCCATTATTTTCCTGGTAATGAAGTCTTGATGTCTGAGGAGGAATTGCTTCTCCTTCAGTCACAGTTTATGGCACATGCACACAGTAAATCCCATTCTTAGTGCTCTTGCCCCCTCTTAACCACCATTGGTTCATACATGGACACATGATATAATTTGGCCAATGAATTTCAGTCCTGCAACATTTATTTTATTTTGTATGTGTTTTTTAATTTTTGGTGGGACTAGGGTTTAAACTCAGGGTTTCATGCTTGCAAAGCAAGCACTCTACCACTTGAGCCGCACCTTCGGTCCATTTTGCTCTGGTTGTTTTGGAGATGGGAGTCTCATGACCTCCCTGCCTGGGCTGACCTTGAACCAGGATCCTCCCAATCTCAGTCTCTTCAAGTAGCTAGAATTACAGGTGTAATCCTGAGATAATTAGGATTGCAGCCATCAGCACCCAGTTAAATTTTTGTTTTTAATTGACACAGTAATTGTACTTATGTACAATTAAGTATTTATTTATGTATTAAGTATTAATATTTATTATTAATTATAGTATTATAATTATAATATATATATATAGTATATATATAATATAATATATAATATAGTATAGTATATTATAATACTATATGTAATATATTATAGTATATTATAATACTATAGTATTATAGTATTATGTATTAAGTATTAAGTATTTATGGAGTCCTGTGTGAATTTCAATGTGTGATGCAATGTGGAATGATCAGATCAGGATATTGGCAAATCTGTCACTCACGTATTTATAATTTCTCTGTGTAGGGAACACTCAAAATCTTTTCTCCTAGCTCTTTGGAAATATTTAATTAATTATGCCATCTCTACTTGTCCTACACTTCTATAGAACATTAGAAGTTACTCTTCCTCCAATCTAGCTGCACCCTTATACCTGCTATCTTCTCTCCATCCCTCCCTCCCCTTATTCTTCCCAGGCTCTTGTACCTTTACTATTTTAACTATTTTAACTATTTTTTAATCACGAGACCCACTCATTTTTGGTTTTTTATGTAGGTCATTCTGATTGTAATCCTTGTCACATAGACCCACAACCAAGGAAGTCCTGATCAACAGAGCACCTATAAATTGAATGGACCCTGTGGGCTCAGTTATCTCTGAGCATTGAAAACTTGTCATCCTATCTCATAGTCATAGGACCTTGGTTGCATGTGCACCCCCACCTCAGGTCCCCTCAGCTATTTCTCCAGGTGTCTTTCATAAATT